AATTTTTAAGCTGCTCTGCACTAGGATTTGGGAGCTGGATTTGTGTCTGTGCCCCACCATTGCTGAGCTCTGGGACTTTATGCCAGTATCACCTCATTCCTTGGGCCTCAATCTTCTTGTAGATAATATTAAAGAATCTAAAAGCTGACTGGGAATCATCCTTTCCTGAACTTTGCAAATATAAAATTCTAGGTCTCTTTCCTGGGCCTCGGTTTTCCCATCTGTTAGATGAGAGTTGCCCTTGCAAATGGTTGAAGGAAAGGGGTAGGAAAGGAGAACCTATGCTAAATGTAAGTCCTACCTTTGGGATCCTAGAATGGTATCGCCTCTTCCTTAAGACACAGCCTTATGATATTAATTCTAGCAGGTGCCAATTCTATTATTTTGTTCATTTATTCACAAACTTGTCATGAGCAATTACAGCCTCCCAGTGTTGGGCCCAGTGGAAGACACTGAGGGCTTGAGGTGACAAATTGTGATCTCTTTCCTGAAAATGTTATGGTCTTAAGCAGGAGACAGACAGGGACAAAGCTGAGTTCAGAGAACAGAGTGATGGGCCCTAACCCAGGCTGGTGCCAAGTGAGTGACAACACCTTTAAGTCTTTCTTCAGGGTCATCTCTAGGCATAGGGTGAAGAGATGACCCATTCTCCTACCCCCTCAAATGCCATCCTGTGTCTGTCACTGTTCTTGAGGGCATGGTGGAGACCTTCACCGTGGGGCTGAGCCAAAGACTAGCACTGACAAATGGAATCCTAGAGAATGGAACTTCCTGCTTCCATTTGAGAGGACACTGGAGTCCAGGATAAGGAAAATACTGCCTGGCCATCACACAGCCTAGGGTTCCTGGCCAACAAACCATAGTTGCTCTTTCTGCTCCATACTGGATTTGAAGACAGGTTTCCAGGAAAATCCCTCATTCCCATTCCCATTGGGTGGGAAACCAACACTTTCAATTGTCTGGATGATTTGAAGTCATAGGCAGAAATCTACTCTTTAGCCATAAGAGTTCAGTGGAAGTCTGTTTCATTCCAAGTCCTCATCCTCTCCACACCTGGGTTTAGGCCTCTGTGTGCACTCAGGACACAACAAGGACTGTCCTTCTCATGCAGTTGTCCCTGTCCAAAATTATTTCTCCTCTCATTCATCTCTGTTAACCAAACACCCCTTCATTAAGGTGCCTGAGCCCTGTAAGAGACTGGCAAGAAAGAAACCCTTCTGATTGATTCGTACTATGGTGTAAATGACTGGAAAAAAAAGTTTCCTCTCAAGATGCCTGGGTCCGGGGCAGCTGTTAGGAAGGAAACCCTTGCTAATTCCCAGTGAGAGGAGAATGACTGACAACTAGCTCCCCAGTTACACTCATATTGTCAAAGAGAGAGCCTAGAGGTACAAAATGTTCAGAATTCCTGTCAGTGGTTTGACAATTCTAGTTTTAGAAGTTTTGCTCAAATCTAGGTTTAGTCACTCAGGAGCTTTAACCTTATTAAAGTTATTTAACCTCTCTGAGCCTCAGTTACCTCACTGGGAAAATAAGGATCATAATTAGACCTCAAAATACGAGGTGAGAATGAACTGGGCCTGTAGCAAGGCCTCTAACTGTAGATGCTTAATACATGTTGGTTCTTTTGAAAGATGGAAGCGTCTACCTCTGAAGACTTTGGCACTTGCTCAAGTGCACTGCCTAGTGACAGTCAGGTCAGGGGGGGAGCTCAGCAGTGTCCGGTGGAGCTGCAAAGCCCCTCTGTGCTGGTCGACAGTGTAGACTTTGCCCAGCGCCATAAACCTGAGGCAGGCCGGCAGGTGTTGGGAAAACAGGAAATGTGAAGAGGCTGGTGGTGGACTGGGTTCTTGGGGACCACATGGGACTGGTCACAGAAAATCACTATTCTAGGTCTCTTTCTTGGGCCTCAGTTTTCCCATCTGTTAGATGAGAGTTGCCCTTGTAAATAGTTGCAGGAAAGAGGTAGAAAAGGAGAACCTATGCTAAATGTAAGTCCTACCATTTCGGGATCCTAGAACGGTATCGCCTCTTCCTTAAGACACAGCCTTATGATATTAATTCTGGGGGGGGCGGTCTTCAGCAAGTAGCAGCCTTCGTCACTGCAGCCATGCTGGGGAAACCAGGACGGCCCAAGGGAGCCCTCAGTGCGAGCCAGCGAGGGAGAGCTGTGGAGTGGTGTGAAGTGGTTGACGTGCTAGGTCAGCTGGGCAGGGTCTCTGGCTTTCACCTCTCCTAGGGGGTGTGACAGTGGGCTTCCTGGGGAGGAGCTGGGCCATCCATACGCCATCCACTCTGACCACCATGCTTTCAGGTGAGAAGCAGCCCAGGGGCTCCTGTCCCTGTGTCAGGTCCCAAACCTGGAGGGGTGGGCGGGGAAGGGCTGACTCATTCTTGGAAAGAAAACAGCTCCTTCTAAGCCCAGAAAGGGGTCCTGACACTGCCCGATGACAGCTATGAGGATTTCTCTGCCAGGTTTGAGGAGGCCTGGTCTTCAAAAGCAACAATTGCTAGAAAGCCTGCCA